GTCTGTGCATATGCATGTGCAGCTCACAGCGTTTGGCACAGTCACACTGAGGCGATAGAAGTGTGCAGCTACAGTAGCCTGTGACTCACTGGCAGCCTGTCCTCCGTGACAGTTAATGAGCTGTTGCTTCTTCTTCCTCTCTGCCTCTTTCTGCCGCATCCCCGTCTTCCGTCTTTATTGGAAAGCTATCAAGCAAACTGTATCTCTGTCCTTCTCCCCTTCACTGAATGGTTATTAAATGAACGGCCGTGGTAGGAAAAAAAAGAAGAAGAAGGTGAGAAGCAGGGAGAGGAGGTTTTCGGTGGATATTACCTCCTCCTCCTCCTCTTCCTCCTCCTCCTCCGCGGGTTTTTGCGTCACGCGCTGCGAGAGGGACATCAAGAAAAGACAAATTATGATATCCCCTCCGCTCGCCTCCCTCCTACCGCCGAGCGAGAGGACTTTGAAGGAGGGGATTTTGAACAAAGCCAGGATGCAGTGGAAACGTGTCAGAGGACTTGAGTTAGGCCTGGGAAGCCATTCTGAGAGAAAACACAGTGATAATGTAATGCCAGCTGGTTTACGGGTAAATCCTCTGATGCACTCAGACATATCAGAGTCTGGGCTCACTGGGCTTGTCGAGCCTTCGTGCATCAGGCAGATAGAGTCAGGTGGTCCGACGGGGGGCGATTGTTTAGGAGGAGTCCGCTGTGTTGATTTGCAGTTTGTTTTGGTTAAACTTGTACAGTGAGAAAGAATTATTTAGTTTAACCTGAACGCTGCTGGTGAGAACTGGAGCATATAAAGAATGCCACAGTTTAACCCAGTGCTTCAAATAAGGCCAGACTTACTGATACAACAGGTGTGTGTGCACCTGAGTTGATATTTTCCAGCTTGTGTTGACTGATTGCTGATGCTGATATATGCACAGACTTATTTTTTGCAGTAGAGTTAGCATATTACAATGTCTAATTTTATCACGATGGCTCACGGGCAGACGCAGACATAAACTACAATGCTTTTCAAAAACTACTTCACGTGCCATATTCATTTCCTGTCAACTTCATGAGAATGTAACAGGCTTGGACGAGTAATTATTTCCCACAAATCGCTGGGTCTGTGTTGTTAACTGGACTTTGCTGACACCTTGGCTAATTCTCTGAATCAGTTTTTAAATTCAGATTTGCTGTAAAAGTTTGGGCAGATGACGCATAGTGTGTCTGCTTCTTTGAACATTACAAATAGTGACACTCCTGAAAAGGTGAAATCTTATTCTTAGTGGAGATGGGTGTGAAATAACAACGAGTATCCTGAGAAATGATGAGACAGAAGCAAAGCTGCACAGAACAAATGAAAGCTTGGACTGGTGGTGATGAGGTATTTCTGCTGTTTCTGAGTTTGTAAATGCATATTTAGGGAGCTGAAAGCTGCTTCTGTGCTCTGTAGAAAACAAACAAATGCATGACAAACAGAAACAAACGGTGGCAGAGGTGGTTTTGTCTGGAAAGCATTCGTCTTTGAGCATCAGTTATCAATCACCTGTAAACCAACCCAAACCAGTGTGAGCGTCTTCCTCCTCCCAGTCAGCTGTGATTTCTCTTTATCTTTACTGGAACAAACTCATTTCATGTGTAGCCAGCAAACCTGGTCGATTTTCATATCTCATCGTTTTTTTTTTTGTTTGTTTCGTTCTTACATCTTTGTTACTTCATCCTTGTTTCCTCACTCAGTCCTGTGAGTAATCTGCTGTTTTGTTCTGTTCAGATGCAGTACATGTAAGTGACGTAAGGAGCCATCGCCTCTGGCTGGCTTTAATGATTTTTTTCCCTCTGAACCATACATCTTCAACTCTATGATTGTACCCTATGGTTTAACCACAGCCGTGCGTTTCTGTGTGTGTGTGTGTGTGTGTGTGTGTGTGTGAATGACTCAGATGATATTTTTCCCCAGTGGCCTCCAGCAGTCCTCCGACTGTGACAGGGAGAGTAATTGGCCATCAAAATAATCCAGACCCCTTCTTTCATTCCCAGCTAGCCGCCGGCACGTGGAATTAGACATCGAGTTTAGCCAGGGACATTAAACACAAACTCTGTGTCTATTTTACATCTTTATGTGTGTGTGTGTGTGTGTGTGTGTGTGTTTGCATGAGGCATTGATTGACCTTAAGTCCCATCAACGTGTGTCACAATATGACTGTGACACATCCTTTAGAATTATTAAGAATTACATTTTGTAATCCGGTGCAGTATTAAGAGCCCATTTTTCCCCCACACAAGGTCCGATGAGGGGTGGATTAAATATAATGGGATTACAGTAATCAGATTACAAAAGTGTGTCTGAAATTAGTAGGCAGCTATTATAGTAATTAATTCAGGCACAGACCTGATAAAAACATCTTATCTACAGATTAAAATACATTTTGACACATTAAAGTGTTGCATTTTGGGACCAGGCCGATGAGAAATGGTGAGAAACCTTTTGCAAATGTTTTAAGTGAGAGGATTTCTGCTGCCGTTTCCACTTGGCATCTTTTAAGTGCACAAAAGTGCTGAAAAAGTGCCACCTGAGGCAGAAGCAACACTCAGACATGAAAGAGTGTTTCAGAGCAAGGTCAGAGAAAAAAAAATAGAAAACGACATCAGCAGTAGGAGACAGCTGCAAGGACTTTATGAACAGCAATATCTATATTCATTTATTTTTTAAAAGATGTTTAAGTTTCCCTCATTAATTTCTTGTGTGTTTTATGAAGATTCATAGTTTGACTCAGTTCACTGATATCAAGCCAGAAATCGTAGCATTTTCCAGCTCAGAGACAGTTTCAGCGAATCAGAAACTTTGAAAGTGAACTTTTTGAGAAAAAACTCACTTCAAACTCCAGTGACACCAAACGATCAGCGTTAAAACTGCAGCAACCACAAAGCCAACATGAACGGGCCGACAGCTGGTCGGGACGTTTGGAAGAGCTTTTCCATAAGTGATTTCAAAGTTTAAGACTCTGAAGTTTTAATGTGTGTTTTTATGATTTATTGAGTCTGTTTTATTTTGCAGACTGCTCTTATCCCCTTTAATGATTCAGTGTGACGTACTCGAGACTAAAACAGTGTTTTCAATCTAGATTTTACATAAGAAATGCATATACAGCTGTATACCTACACATACATGCTCTTAGGGCATCGGTGTTGGGACCACGTAGGACAACTTCTGCGTGTTCACTGGATTCGTCTTTTCAACGCTTCCCATTAATTGTCTGTACAAGCCACCGTGCAGTGTATTGTGACAGCTGCCTCATTCGTCGCTCCTCATTTGTGTAACGTTGAGTTCTAGGCTGCTTAATGCAAACCAGAGCCGTCCATTACCGTTTCTCACCTCTGGAAACTTGTTGTCGATCTAAAATGAAGACAGATTCAACCGACTTGTTTCTTTTTGCAGACTTTTTTTCCAAAATATAAGAGAAAGTTTTGAAATGAGCTGCTGTGTTTGTCCGCTTTGAACTACAGCAGCAGGCGGATGAGTCCAATTAGGTGCAGCCGATGTTTGCGTGGTTGCCGGAAGGTGAAGCCTGAACTGATCTCCTGCTGTCAGTCATGTGTAGTGACAACGAATAGTCCCATGCTCATCAAGCATCCAGAAATGGCCCTGTAGTTTAATTTGTACAAAAAAAACCAGATCATTTGTGGGTTTTGGGGATCCACATGCTGCAGCTGCTTCTAACCGAACATCCAGTTTGCACAGAACTTTTCCTCAGCACTTTACTAACTGCATAGATTTTAGTTCTGCAGTGTGATGGGAAGACAGGACACGAGGCATTGGACGAAGCTGGGGTTTATTCACTTTGATTTAGCTCTTAAAGCTAATATCATGTCCACTGCACTTAAAAGAGATGAGAGCTCGACTGTTTGGCCAATCCCCACGCTCCACTTCTGCCGCCAAGTAATCACATTTGTGTTTGTACAACCTGGTAATACGGCGAATCAATGGAGTGGCCACAAAAGGCCTGATTGCTGCTCGGTCTCACCTTGACTCGCTCATCTGGAAACAACCTTGAACGCCACTTTTAATCTCTGCGAGGGGAGAGTAAGGACGGACTGTGTTGGTCATTATGGCTTCCTTTGAAATGACACCTCCTGTTTATTGACACCGCTCGAGTTTGAGAGACGGGGATTTTTAAACCTCAAAGGGACGCGAAATTGATTGCGAGGAAATGTTTCCGCAGTTTCCAACTTTGGAACAAACTTCCTGCTGTCATCAGGTAGTCGGACGCTGTTGGAGTATTTAAAGTCCCGAGCGGAGACTTTGTTTATCCAGCCGGTGTTTGAAGGCACCTTTACAAGACGAGACAGTTTCTTTCACTTTGTTTACTTCCTGCAGTCTGTCATCAGCTCACTTCAGCTTTAATCTTCTCTGCTGCTCTAATATCCGGTCACACACAGACGATTCGCACAAACACCTCAACTCAGCTCACATCGTGTTTACCCTACAAAGACGAACTCACGCATGCACCAAACAAAACAGAGAGGATACAGCGAAGGAGCCTGCTGTCTTAGGATCTGAAGACATAGTTTCTGACATGTACATGCGACCACATGCAACCAACCTCTAGAAATCTGCATCTCTGACCCGAGAAGATTTCAATCTGACCTCTGAACTGTTCACATCTCAGTGATTGATTTGAAGTTTCTCTGGTGTTAGCAGCTTTTAGGTAAAGAAGTTGAACCAATCAGAGACCGATAGCATCAAAACACAGATGTGTGAATGCAGCTGTACAATTTGCTGTAAATTAGACAAATAAAACTGCACTGATCATATTTTAAATTCTGTTCTATTATTCATGAAGTCACCTCTCAGGAGCGTTTCAACACGCGGCACCTGATGTCTTGGTGTTTTAGATCAAAACTATCTTTGCTGTTTTCAGTGGAATTTCTACTAACTCTCTGGTACCGTTCATCGATTAATGTGAATAATTTGATGCTGTTTCAGGGTAACTCTAATTTCTCCGTCTCCTCTCTGTTCCCTCTCTGCAGGTCCACCCGTAAACGTAACCTGCAACATTTTTATCAACAGTTTCGGGTCCATTGCTGAAACAACAATGGTAAGCTCGATCCTCTTTCATTATCAACTCAAAGTGAAGATTCTGGTGTTACTTATTTGTCTCTTATGTCTATGTGTGGATGTGGATGGTTAGGCAGCTAATGAAAACTGTCACATCTTGTCGCGGCTCCGTTTCAGCTCGGCTAACTTTGCCTCGAAAAAAATGCAATTAATTCAAACGACGGTCGTGCCGATATTCAGCGTATCCCAAGTTTAATTTTGATTTCTTTTCTTAAAAATTAAAGGCCTTCTGCCCTCTGAGTGTTTAGAAATGCTGGCGCCTCATTGAGCTCGTCTCCCATTTGCAACACTTCATTTGAAAGAGCGCATCACAGTGGCGGCGGCCATTTGCATTTGCGGCAGCTGCGACGCTGCCGTGCCCGCTTGCGAGCGACGGAGGGGAAATTTACGTTCATTCATTACACAGAGAATCCATTAGTGGTAATATGAAGCGAAGCGCCAGCCTTCACAGAGGAACGAGGCTCCCGGCAGATACAGTGAACCTGTATGTATGTGACAACAGAGGTGATCTCAGCATGGACACGCTCACCCCTCTGACCTCCAAAAAAATAAATGAATCATTCCTTCATCCACCAAAAGCATTGAGCTTGTCAGCTGCGTAAACTTTTCAGCTGGACCTGAGGCACCGCCGAGGACACCGAGGCCACGTCCTCGACTGTAGCTGTCAACAGGTTTTAACAGTGTCAGGCGGCGTTACGTTGTAGAAATACACAATAACATGATGTATTATACAGTAAGCTGCAGTATATTTTGGACTAAATATCTTTAAATATTCCCAAATAGAATAGAATTTAGCACTTTAAATGACAGGTTTAATCAGATCTGACTGACAGTATCCTCTTAGCAAACAACCCAAAAACAAAACATCTTGCCAAACACATCCAGTCTCATGTAAAATAACCCTATTTAAATAGTAGTCTTTTCATAGCTCCCCCAGGCTTACAATATGGTAAGAAGCTGATACAGAAAAAGGTTTTCGAAGCCTTTAAAAGGTTAAGGAGGGCTTTATATGTTCTATATTCTTCTTTGTACCCAACAATGTGGTGAAAACAAGCAATGACTGCATCCTACTCTGCAAAACCAAAGCCTGAGATGTCCTCCACCAATGTGCCACAGAGCCTAATTTGTCCCAAAACCTATTAAAATCACATCAACGAGCCACACCGAGTGACACGTTCCTTCATTAACACCACCACACACGCCGTAGATTATTTTGGCTCAATATCCGCACGCAAGAAAATACTCAGTGAATGTGGATTAACCTAAAGATTAAGCTAAAATCTAGAGCGCCAAGCTGGTTCAGGAAATGTATGCTTGAAAAAATAAGTGTGTCATGGCTGCAGCTAAGAGTCACGGATAGACGAGGAGAGCAGGTGAGAAGATAGCAGAGGGGACGTGGATGAAGATTCACATAACAGGAGGAAAGAATACGGTGAGGCAGGAATGCAGGAAGAACGATGGGACTGAATATCCCATTGGGAAAGCCGAGTATCCCTCCTCTAGTACACACACACACATACACACACACACACACACACACAGCCTGCTGCATTGAAAGTGCTGGCCTCTACAGATCTTCGTCATGCAGAGCGAATTCCAGATTTTTCCTGCAGAAGCAGAGTCGATCCTTGTCACAGCGCTGAGGGAGAGACTAAGGGAATGAAAATATTAGATACAGAAAAACAGAAACTTTTAATCAGACCTGTTCTGTCGGTGTCCTGTTTAGCTGTTAGGGACGCCTCGTAGAGCTGCGTACAGCTGTTTGTTTGCTCTCTATCAAATAAAAAGTGCAAAACACACACAGGCATATATCCTACTGCTTTGCCTGACAATACTGTGACAGTAAAGTTTTGATCCTTTCAGTGCAATTGGTGAGCGATCACCTATCACCATCAAACACCAGAAACAGGAAGAAAAAAAAGTGAATTATTCACATCTCTACTGCTGTCACGTTTCTTCTTTTTGTCTCTCTTTCTCTCTCTGAAGAATGCTGTTGGAGTGTATATGTAGACACACAATCTTGTAACTTTGATGCCTTGAAATAACCGAGCAGCCAGCGACAAAAAAGTTAAGTCAAAAATATTTTTTAAGACAACAGGCCCAGGTGGGACTCACAACTAGAACCTGACTGGTGACAGTCATGTGCTGCCCCACCAACATTCAGTCTAGAAGGTGGGGCGCCGCTATAGCTCACCTGGTTGATCTGGCGTCCCATGTGCAGGGCTACAGTCCCAATGTGGAGGTCATGAGTTGGAATCCCGCTCATGACCCTTTCCCACATGTCCCTACTTTCCTGTCTCTCTCTGACTACACTATCCAATAAAGGCACAAAGGTCAAAAAAATAACTTTAAAAAAAAACCTAGAAGGTGGAGGAGGCCACCTACCCCTGATCTCTGTGGGCGCGATGACAGCTGATAGCAGCCATTTAATGGACAGATCATGTTTGAAACTGATGCTGCAAGAATCGCACATCAAGCCATCCTAAGAGATGCCCTTCTCTGCTCTTCTTTCTGACATTATTCCCATTTGGTTGAGTTTTGTCCCCCATGTGTTGACCTTTGAGTTTGTTGTGTGCTACACAGAAAACTCTGAAAGTTAAATTTTGCAAATAAAATGAAACAGCTCCTGCATACAGGCGTGTGGAACAAGTGGTGAGCTTCATGTAACTCGTGGAGACTCAGTCCACCCTCCGAAGACCACAGTCAGTGCTGTTGCTTTAATCTCTCAAAGGGTGGATTAGAGGCAAAACAAAGGCCAGAAATAATTGGATTTATCAGGTTTTTATCAAAGCAGAAAATCCATTTTAAAGCTCGAGAGGCGAAACAGAGCGAGTAGGAAGCTGTGGATGGGGTCTCGATGCAGTGCTGTTGTAGTGTGTAGCTCTGGCTACGACCACAATATCACGCCATTCTCAACGCGCGCACACACACACACACACACACACACACACACACACACACACACACACACCCACACCCACACACACACATGCGCTACTATACTTGTGAGGACTGCATTCCCCGATCCCCAAACCTCAATCATCGCTAACAAAATGCCTAACCCTCAAACCATCCTGAAGCTCGTCCTAAATCCCCTCATTTCACACAAATGTCTTCACTACAAAGGCGTTCAACTCCAACTGGTCCTCACAAAGATAGACACAGCTGCCCACACACACACGTCCACGGTGCTGCTGGGGCCGGAGCACCGTGATAGATGGAGTCGGTAGAATAGCGCAGTGCTTGTCGAAGTCCCGGCGGTACACGGCTTTATTCCTGTTTCAGCGCTCTCTCCCCACTCCCTCGCTCGCTCTTTTTCTCTCTCTCTCTCTCCTCACACACACACACACACACACACACACACACA